CCAGCGACTATCAAAAAGGAATTGTAACCGCAAGAAACACCAGTTTATTACTCTAGGGTATTAGGCCCCAAACGAAAAAAAAACACTGCTTATGGCCTTGGGCGAGAGTGTGCCAGTCTACGGAAAGAGGAAGCCCGGCGCACAAGTGGAGAACAGCGATTGTAGCCAGCCGACAGAAGGCAGGATCCGTGTGCATAAGTGGAGGAGAGTGCAGATTTCGCTAGCCTACAAAGAGGGGGTTGTTTCCACAACTCCCTCAATGACCCAGGCGCTTGCACACGCGCACACGGATGAATTCCACCCGGGACTTCCATCACGGGGGCCGCGGAACGTTCACGGCAATAACACTCGTCTCGACAGAGCACACAGGGCGGGCAGTGAAACCTAGGAGAGCTGCCCCGAGGTGAGCAGTTACATGTATGCCGCTGAGTGCCCCGCGGTACCCAGGGCTCAAACCCACCGGGGAATGGCCCCCCCAGGGGGAACAGATCAAAAACATAGATCACCCTATCCATATGCCCATCACTCATTCACCGCCGCCAGGTCCACGACCACCGCAGCCGCACTGGCTTCACCTCCACCTCACCCGCGCCTCTGTGTGGGGCCCATGCTGTGGCAACACCGCCGGGTCCTGGCGATCCGCACGTTCGCTCTTGAGATGTGCCTTAGCCACGTGCCAGTGATCGCAGCTATTGGAGGTGCTCACCTCCGGCAGGAGCAGCAGCAGTAGGACCACAGTGTCTCCGCATGCTGACTGCAGCCGCAGGTCCATGCGGACCGACAGTGAGGAACAAGCGGGGAGGGCGCGTGTGGAGGGGAATAAGTCAGCGTGCGATGTGTCTATTGCGGGGTCATAGGATATCACGCGCGCAATTACACCTCGACAGTACGACACAGTACCCAAAGTTAACAGGCTGACGTGTACAGTCAAACCCACGGAAGCCTAGGCTATCAAACTCCAAAAAAACAGATGAAACAAAATTGCACGTCTTCGGAATTTGATATTTTACATAATGATATGAAAATTGTTTTGGTCGTTTCAGTTCTGACCTGGTTACGCTTGGGTTTCAGGTGCATGGCTCCCACACTTCAGGCATCCAGTCAAATCCACGGAAGCCTAGGCTACCCAACTCCAAAACGGATGAAAGAAGACTGCACGAGTCCAAGAGAGACAGACAAGAACATCGGACCACGATAGGTAATTACAGCGGACGACGACAGGGCGAAATGTAAAAACGAATCAGCAATACGATGCTGCGATAAAAAAAATGTCCCCCAACGCACCGATACCAACGTTCGTTCGGAAAGCCCCCCAACGTCATGACCTTCACACATATTTCCCCTGTCACAGCCCGCCGGTAGTTTAGACAGTCCCACACAAGTTCCATTCCTTCCACCGACCGCACAATCCTTACTCCCCGACAAAGCCCACCATACAAGCCCGAGTCTCCGGGGGCCCCATGCCGCATCATGAGCCCAACATATTGCAGTTGGACCCGCCGTGCAGAAGGTATCAAGGGTTAGGTCTGGTCACAATCCCACTGCTGGTACATCTAGACAGCCAGTCGGCATATGTCAGCTCCCGAAGTCGACTTCCCTAACCCTCGCCTCAAACCCTCGTCCCAACCATTACACCAAGTGCCATTCCCAACACAGTCTACCTCCCCAGTCCGCCACGCCATCGGCAATCACACGTTTCCACTCGCTAGCATTTTGGCTTTGTTGGGAAGAGGTCCCATGTCCATGGGGGTCTCCCCCCCCCTTCACCATGACCATATAGCGGCAGACCAAATACATAGTGCATAGTGGCATGGAGCTCACTTGAAAAAAAAATAATCCATGAGCCCTAGATGAGAAGCAGCACCAGCAGGACCGGATTGGTGACGATGGAGGGGGTGGTGCTGCTGATGCAGCAGCAGCAGCAGCAGCAACAGCAAAAAGAAAAAACTAGAGAAAAACATTTTGAGTCCTCACCCCTGACACCAGTCCCCTTCTTCCCCCTTATCGTGCCTTGCCTCACCCTAGACCCCTCACACCTCTCAGGCCTCTACCGCAGCTGAAGCCCTGCACAGACCGACACTGTTCAACCTTACGACGCTTACCACCTTCCCCCTTTGGAAAGGATGAACCCCACATCCTAACCCGTCCTCGCCATCACTCAGTGCATGTCACAGTTCTGAACGGGGCCTCGGGCCCGTTGGGTCCTTTATGAGGGCCTGGATACGTTCACCCAACGCCACCACCACGGGATCATCTGGGTCATAGCCTCGCTGTAACAGCTCCACCGTACGACGGTTAAGCCGCCGTACCTCCTCCAAGTCGGCGTCGAGCCCGAGCCCGACGTCCGCGGTGAAGCTGATGCTCATGCCCCCAGGGTCCCCAGGCCCCCGGATGTCAACGCCGGCGTCTTCCCTAGGGCCGATGCCGTAGACGTCGTCGTGCTCGTCGTGTTGTGCCGCTTCTGCCCAAGCTTGGGCCGGGTGCTTGTGGTGCTCCTGTTGCTGAGAGTGCTGCTGAGGTAGCTGCCAGCCGGCACGGGCCCCGCCAGAATGAGGGTCCCCCCCGGCAGGCCGTGAAGGGCTGACACCGCGACTCCGCGTCCCACTGCTAATATTAACATCCTGCAGATTGCGTTGGAGCTGCAGCTGCCGCAGCCGAGTGGCAGCCGAGCTAGCGTTGGCGAGGTGGTCGGCCAAGCTCCTCCTGGCGTGCACGTCGCCATCATCGCCGGCAACTTCGCCGTCATCGTTGCCTCCGGCTAGGTTTGCAGCGGCAGTAGCGTCGCTGAGCTGCTCGGGCTGTTGGCGCCTATGTTGGCGTTGGTGTGGTTGGAGCTGCTGCTGCGGCTGCTGCTGTTGCTGCTGGTACGGCGGAGGGAGCGGTTCTCGGTCATCGTCACCCCAGCGGCTGTCAGAATCTTCGCCACCACCGCCAGCTTCGTCGCCGCCAGCACCATCCAGGTCACCCTCACGGCGTCCTTGCATGGCGGCGCCATCCTCCCATTGCGTTGGCGCCGACTGATGATACAGACGCGACCAGCCGCGGCGCTGCGGTGGTGGCTGCACAGCCACCACCGCTTCAACCGTTGCCGTCCTGGTCATGGAAGTAGCCGTGGACACAGCACGAAGGACAGGGGCTGGCGCAGAGGCAGCCTTCCCAGAGGATGCCTGATCGAGCCCTGGCGCCGAAACCAATGGCGATAGGTCGCCACTGCCATCTCCTGCCGCCGGCGGTGCGCTGGCGGCGGCGCGTGGCTCGGCCCAGCGCTGGCGCACGGGCCCACTGCCACCGCCCGAGCCGCCGGCGCGTGCGGCAGTGGCGCCGTCCAGATGAGTGTACGGCGCCGCGGCTTCGTCGCCGCCGTTGCCGCCCCGTGGCTGCTGCATATGCTTCACTGCCGTCGTGCTGTTAGATGATGAGGTGCTGTTGTTGGCCGGCGTGGTGGTGCCACTGCTACTGCTGGTCGGCAGTTGGGCTAGCGGGGGACGGGACAGGGGTGCATCGTTGCGATCTGTGGGCGGTGACGGCGGCGGCCCTGCAGAGCGCAGACCCCGCTGGTCTCCCCACTGGGCCGCATCTCTAGCGGCGGTGACGGATTGGAGGGCAGAGGCTTTCCTTCCGCCGCCGTACACAGCGGCGCGCCACTCGGTACGACCTGCATACACAAGAACCATACGCCAAAAGGTTTGTGGAGTCAAGTGCTCTGTGCCCACGCGGGGGTTGTGAAGGTTGCGACGCCATTTCGCATCCGTCGGCATGCATCAAGAGACTGGGATGGCTATTATCCTCTAAATGCAGACGACGCGAGGGATGGAAGGATTGCTGCTGGGGCAAGATAGCGCGATGATGGGAATAGCCACAGGCGGTGTGGATGGGACCATGTGGGAGGGAGCGGGCCAGAGAGCCGACGACGAGCGCACGTTGCATGCTATGCAACACAACGCGCACAGCAAGCCACTCAGCCAGCCACTCAGCCAGCCACTCAGCCAGCCAGCGACTTCACGCCTTCCAACCCGCCATTCTAAGCCCGGTTGCCCGACCACTCCAAGCCTTTCAGGCCAGGCATTAGGCGGTTCACGTTGGGGCTGGCATGTAAAGACTCGCCATCACCCTGATGCGCATGTATTGAGCCCCCCAAGGGTGATGCCATGCCGCACATGAAGGACACGGAAAAGGAACACAGGAATAGAGCGCAAAATGGCCTCGCCGCCCAGCTCATGTACACAAACCTGCGGAATATATACCGTAGGGGGAATATACCGTACGGTATGTCGGTGTGTATCAAGCCTCCCGTGCAGGCAAAACATAGGAAACACTTTCTTAGGCGATACACGCTAACTGCGCACAAATAAGGCTAGAAATGGCAGAGGTCCCCTTCCCACTAGCTGCTGCGCCGCGTGCCGTGTGCCGCCTCTTTCCTTCCCTCCCTACCCGTTCGCTGCTGGTCGCTGGAACGCAGATCAGGAGCAGCTTCATCGGCGGCGTCCATTGCCGCCCGCGCCGCCGCCGACGGGACAGCAGCGGCCCCGGCGGCCGCGGCAGCGGCCGCGTCTGTATGCCCCCCTCGTGGCGAGCTGGACGGGGACAGCTGCGCCAGTGCAGCCGTTTTGATGGCTTGTAGCTGGGCGCGCATGGCCGCCAACTCCTGCTGCTGTGATGCCGCGTACCTGCAAAATGGCAGCGGGGAAGGGCAGGGCAGGGTCAGGGAAATCTTGGCAGAAAACAAGGCTGGAAAGGGTAGGGCGAGGTGGGGGGTAGGGGACAACAACAAACGGAAAAGTGGGGCGAAAAATGTACGTTCACATCGTACCGTTGCTTGCATTCAAAACAGGAGCTACTTGCCCAACTAAACCCCCTTTCCAGCATGCAGCACGGCCATTCAATGCACGGACGTGAAGCTCCAAAGCGCATACACAGCCGTCGATGCACGAGCCCCAGACAAACGGGGCCTCGCGTACCTTGCGTGTGTGCATCTGTGTGTGTGTTACATCATCTTGGGGTTGCGTGACCCCATACCTGTAAAACTAACTACCCATACGAGTCGAAGGCCCGCGTACCTAGCGTGCTCCTCCGCTGCGGCTCGAATGGCGGACGTGTCAGGACCGACTGGCAGTGCAGCCCCGCTGACACTGCCCGGTACGGCAAGGGCCAGGGCCCCCTCGCCGGAGTCGCTGCCGCGGTGGTGCCGCCGCCGCTGCAGCGCCGCCACCTGCTCCGCTAGCTTTCGAACCTGGGAATCCAGATTGTGGCAGTTGGCAGTTAAGGAAAACCCTAAAAATGTCGACCTGGACATGGGATGTCCGGGCCGTCCTGGATTTCGGTGTTCTGGAGGGTTTTATGGACGAGACTTCAGCATTGGGTCTCGAAAAGCGCAGCCTCATAACCCAAATCTTCATTCATTGAGGAGGCTAAGGAAAATCAAAGGAAGGAAAAGTGCATGCGTGTGTATGCGTGTGGATGGAGAAGACGTGGTTGCGAACACGCGCACAAAAGCGCACAGTTTACCTCCTCCGGCCTATCCCATCAGGGCCCGTCGCCTCTTCGTTGATGTCTTGTTCATTTCCCTAAACTCTTTATCCTTTCCGCCTACCTATCTATCCTAGCTGCAAGGTGTGACCTAAACGTACATGTATCGGTGACCAATTCCCACTATTGCAGCTCCGTTCCTTTTGTTATACCTCTCCACAAGTGACACTGACTCCCAAATCCCCAGTCACCCACGCCTCTGCCCACCCACCTGCTCCTTGTAACCCTGCTTGGCTTTGGCCGCCTTGGCAGCACGTCCCTCCGCCGCCTTAACAGCCTCACGCGCCTCCGCCAGCTGCCTGGCCAGCTCCGCCTCCGGAGTGGACCTGGACGCGGCTCGGAAATCTAGAGCAAGCACGCACGCGGACGGGCGGGCGGGCGGATGGGCGGTGCACGGGGGTTGTCAATGCGTATGACACACCATGACACAGCCGGCGAGCAAACGGCCAGACCTCGCCATAAAGAGACAAGTCGGGCGCGGGACTTCGCACGCAGCTAGGTATCAGCGTGAAAGGTGCGGGAAGAATATCGAGCCAGTCAGTCTTAAGTGCGACCCGGCGCCGAACAGCCGTCATACAGGACAGAACCAGGAAAGGACATGAGGGCATGAGGACAGGTGAGCTCATAACACCCGGCCCCAGCCTCCAGCCTCTCGAAACGTTACACACGCACACACGCACACGCACACACACCTCGCGCGCCAGCGGGATGTGATGTTGAGATGGTGATCGTGGTGGTGGTGGTGGTGGTGCTAATGGTGGCGATGGATGGAAGAGTATTACAAGGTGCGGTGTGAACTGCGCGATGCAAGCTGCGTGGGGCACCTGGACCGCCATGCCTTCGGAGAGGTGGTAGTGGTGAGGTGGTGGTTGGGCGGCTCCGTCCCAGCCGTCTCCATCACTCCCTCAACCTTTCCCCCTCTTCCCGAGGAGGACTGCTTCTTCACAACCGCCGACTGGTCAGTTGTCTGCTTCCGTCCTGTACATCGGCCGCGAAGCACTCTTTCCCCCCGTGGCAGCAGCTTCACTCGCTCTCGTGGTTCGTCTTTCCCCCCTCTTCCCCCCGCATCCCTTGCTTTTTCACAAGCCCGCTCTCTTTGGTTTCGGAGTAACTCTCTTCCACAAGCTAGGACGTGGGTAATCAGTTGGCGTCGGCGGTTGCCCGCCGGGATTCCGTCTGTGTCCGTTCCTAAGGTATCATCCTCCATGCCCTCCCTCGCCTCCTTTTCCTCCTCCCTTTCCTCACCCGCAAACTCGTTTTCCACGGTGAGGCAGCGCATCTCACTGGCTGCCAGCCGCTCCTCCAGTGCGGCCACACGTCGTACCAGTTCCGTATTCCTGACTCGTCATGGTAGCGGACAAATGGGAAAGGAGGGAGTGAGGGAGGGAGGTACGAGTGAGGGAAGAAGGCAGACAGGGAAGCTCAGGTGGACCGTCTGGTCGTACAATACACACACACAGAGCGTGTGGGGTGCAGGTGTGGATGCAACAGGGCAGCTGCAGGAAGCTTACGCCACGACCCATAACATAATCAAACCCCACTAAATCAACCCACTAAATCAAGGCGTAGCTCGCACACCCACCCACGATCACCCCGTCATCCTTTCCCCTATCGCCGTGCCCCCTCAAGCCCACCTGTCCCGCTCTATGTCCAGTTGGTGCTCGCACTCCACTTGCAGCCTCCGTACCGCCGCCTCGGCCTCCACCATGCGTGCCGCGTGTTCACGTTCCAGCTCCTTCCGCCGCCTCAGCAGCGCCTCCTCCGCGGCCAGGATACGCCGCTCCCGGGCCTCAGCAGCAGCCAAAGCCTGCCGTACCGGTGATCGAAGAAGGGAAATCATATAAAGCGAATGCCAAAGAGACAAGTACCGATTACTGAAATACCAGCTGGAGAGGGGGAAGGGGGAAAGACGAACTACAAACGAGTGAAGCTGCTGCCAGGGGAAGGTGGAGGGGAGAGAAGAGGGAGAGAGAGCTCAAAAAGGGAAGATCCCCCCAACTCCAGGGGGGGATGTCCCCAGGACCTTGAGACCCAGACGCGAGATGGCCCAGACGACGAGCACACGCAGAAAACCTCACCGAAGGTCAAGTAAATAAACTACTGCTGGTGGCGGTAGTCCCACCACATTACAGAGAAGCGTGCGTGGAACGCGTGCGTGACAAACAGACAGACGGACAGACGGACAGACCTGCTGCGCCTTGTCCTCCATGGCCAGGTACTCCGCCTTCAGGCTGGCCAGCTCCGCCTCCCTGGCCCTCTCCCGCCGCCGCCACTCGCTTTCGAGGACCAGCATGCGCTGGCTCTCGCGTTCGCGTAGCTCAGCACGCCAACGGGCCTCCTCAGCTGTTGGGGAAACACCGGGGGAAGGCGGAGTGAGGGGAAATGAGGCAGGAGCGAGTACACGGCCGGAGGTACATGGGGAGGGGGGGGAAGACGAACCACGAACGAGTGAAGCTGCTGCCAAAGGGGGGGGGAAGATGCTAGGGTTGTCGGCGTGGGGCTCGACGCTAATGAAAGGACCAACAAATCAAGAGACGGAGTGAGGGGGCGCCGTAGGTGGGGTGGCTGATAGGCCCAAAGCTCTCTCGTGCACCCGACGCTGCACCACACTACTGCGCTCTACTGCAGTCCAAGCCTAGCACGGCCCAGCCTGGCGCGAGCACCAAGACAACCCTAACGAACCTCACCCTCACCTTTCTTCCACACCTCCAGCTCCCAAGCCGCTTCAAACTCCGGTACAGCGCCGTGCAGCGGCCTGGACTCAGGACCGCCCGCTACATCCGCCCGCGCACCGCCAGCTGCTGCCCCTGCACGTGTCAGCGCCTGCGGAGAGCCTAACGACACTGCCGGCGGCGGCGCCCTGCTGTACTGCTGCTGCGGCAGCAGCCCTGCAGGCGGCTGTCTCTGCTGCTGCTGCTGCTGCGGTCCAACAGCGTCAGCCTGGGACGCGCTGCCCTTTTCCGCAGCGGTGGGCGCGGGATGCATTTCCCGGATATTCAGTTCGTTGCCGCCTTCTAACAGCCCGCCCGGAAGCGCCGTGGTGGCGGTGGCGGTGGCTCCGCTATTGCTGGGAAAGGCTGCAATCTCGCCTGGGTCGTAAGGATTGGGCCGCGGCCGAAGCACCTCCACCGCCGCTGCCGCCAGCGGCGGCGGCGGCACATCGGCAGCGGTGGCGTCCATGATGGCTTGCGCCGGCGGGATCAACTGGGCTTGCGGCCCCGGGGCGAGACGGGGCCCCGGTACCGCAGCTCCTTTGTCCTCTAGGGACAGCACCACTCGCATCAGACCCATCTAGTGCGGGGAGAAGAAAGAAGGGGAAGGGGCAGGAAGAGGAGGTGGAAGAGGCCCAGGGGCCGGCACGCGTTGGATCGAGTGCAAGGGTGGGCATGCGAGGGTTACACGGCCAGCGTGGGGTGAAGGGGTTGAGGGCTCGGGGGCCCAGTGAGCCAGCAGCCACCCCGTGCTGCACAACCCAACGTAGGTAGGCGGCCGAGTAGCGGGTTGGTAGGACGGGTTTCTACCGCCTTGGCACGGTACTGCCCTGGCGAGATTTCCTGTCCTTCCACCCACCGCCCTCCGCTGCCACCCTCACTCCTGTCCTGTCCTCTCCCACCTGCACTCTCTCCTCCCGCACCTCCCCCCCAACTGAGCTCGCCACCAGGGCAAACAGAGGCGCATAGCCGTCCACCCAGGCGCCTTGAAGTAAAGGGGATAAAGGGACGGACCCTGCGCCCAGCAACATGTCCGTGCGAAACCTACGGGAAGTGGGTAGGAGCGGGGTGGGGGGTTGCGGAGAGATGATACGATTTATTGGCTGCTGCGCAGGTACGAGGATATGCACACACAGTACACCGTGTTTCGTGTGTGGTGCCTGCTCTGCAGCTGTCGCTGCCGCTAATGCTTTCGGGTGCTTTCATTCCTCCTCCTCCTCCTCCTCCGCCTCCTCCTCCTTCCCCCCCCAACATTCCACGCACCTCTCCTTGTGCCAGGCCTCCACGCTGATCCGCGGCTCACTCGCCAACACCCGGGCCAGCTGAACCACGCCGGCGGAAAACTCCAGTGTGCCATACCTGCGAGCACGGGGAAAGAGAAATAGGCATCATCCTGCTTGTTTGTACGAATGATGAGCTGGGTCCACAATGTACATCTGAGCAGCAGTAAGGGGAAGGGGCAACGGCCAGGTGATCTCCTTACTGGGTTGCGAAGGACAGCAATACCAGTGCAATGGGGGATGAGGCGACGCATGAGGTTCGTGGCGCGACATGCACATGCTGCTGCAGCTTCTGCTGCTGTGGTTCCATCTGCAGGAGAGATTCCCCCCATAAGAAACGCTGCTACTGCTGTGCTTTGACGTGTGGAAGGTCACTCACTGCGGGGTTTTCCTTCACTCCGAACATTTCAGTGGCCACCACAGGAAACCCCCCCGCGCCTGCATGCACTAGCAGGATAATCGCTTCCGCATCCGGCATCAAGCAACAGCCACAGCAGCAGCAACGTGCGTGAGCCGCAACCCATCCGACTCCGTGGAAAGACAGCTCGAATCACCAGCTGCGAGCTTCTGAGTCCACCACCCCTAGAGACGCCAAGATTCATATTCAAGAGGGCCAGGACTCACCCGTTGGGGATCGATCCCTCCGCGCCACGCGGGATGTCAACAGCGGGGTGACTGCACAGCGGTGCCAGCCGAGACGGCAGCCGATAGCCACTGCTAACCACCAGCTCTAATCCCCAGTGCAGCGTCCGCGCCCACGAGCCCATGTTAGCACCGACGCGCACCACAGCAGCGAGCAGCAGCAGGCAGCGAAAGGGCCCGAGGCCATTCATGGAAAAAACCCACATCAGGGTCAAGGTCCATGCGCCCAGGGCAGCGACGGAGATGGCGGTAGTGGAAAATCGGATGTGATTGGGTGGATGGATGGGAGGGTCGGGTACAACGCCCTAGACACATCTCCCCCAGAGCCCATTCTTAGGAATAATGGACCCATTCTTCCTAGGAACCCATTTCCCTGTAGGCAGTCCCCTGGAACTCACTTCGTTCAGACCCATTTCCCCGTTGGGCCCAACCGCCTACTTTGGGCATAATTTGCCCAGACCGATTTGTCCTGTCCCAGCCAGGCATTGCATTTGTTGCTTACTGGAGAGCTTTGGACAGCTTAACTTGGCGCTATAACCCAGTGAAACTCGTACGGAGGTTACGAGGCAGAGAAGTCGCGTACCTATGAGCTCCGCTGGCAATACAGCCTGCACGTAGACGTTGGCGCTGCTCAGCGGCAGACGCTTGCTGCTCTGAAAGCTGCGGACGTCCACCGTCAGGGCAAATTTCCGGAACGGGCCATCGTTTTCGGGGTTTGGCCCTGGGCTGCCGAAGTTCGGCAGGCCCGCAGTGGGGTTACGCGCCGGTGGGGACCCTGTGGCTGCAGACGTGGCCGCGGCAGCCGTCGCAGACCCGATGGTGGCTGATTTGGCGACAGCGCCGTCAGCTCCAGGGGGATTGTCTTGGGGCCCGTCTGGATTTGGGTCAGGTGAACCGCCAGCGACAGATCGGCTGACGGCCTGCTGCCGACGTGCAGCTGCACCAGCAGCGCCCGCGCGTGACTTGCTGGGAGATGGTTTTGGCTCAAGCGAGAAGGATACGTCCGGCCTGTCCTCGTAAAAGAGCGCCACCATGCAGACTTGAGGTATTTCCCCTTTCTTGGCGCCTGTGAGGCTTACCCACGTGCCTGCATGTCGGATAGGGACGAGCGTGGCGTGGAAGGAGATGGTATCGGGAAGGGAACTCCGGTGACTGCAGCAAATTCAAACATGCGCGGGATACGAAGCCAGTTGGAGTGCACACCTTCGGTCTTCTTGTATTGAGCCTGCAACTTGGCCGCGCGTATGTCCACCAGGAACCATCCCAGCTTTGTGCCATCCTTGTTTGATAAAACAACTTTACAGTCCTTCTGGCCGAGGGCTGTAAACCGCCGGAATTGATCCATCGTGACACGCCATTGCAGTGTTGTGTTCCATATGTGCGTGTCGCGGCCCACGCTATAAGGTGTTAACTTGGTCTCGCCAGCGAAGGTAGCAGCACAGGCAACCGCTTGCAAATCCGGTCCAAAAGCTTTGCCATCTTGAATATTTATACTTAGGATATAAGTCCGGTCCTCAGGTCCGGGGCTGCCCATGATGCGTCCCAGTCAACTGAAGGATGGCCCCTTTCCAGGATTGAAAATTCCTGTATTTTTTGTCAAGTATACATCCTGTAGAAAATGGAGCTAGTAAGATAAACGCATCGTTTCCTGTTCTCCATTAACTGAAGACACCGACAGCTTGTGCATGCAAAGTATAGCCCAATCCAAAGCCCAGTACAAAGGCGCAGTGACCGCTGTTTACAGTACAGGCTTCTTCTCCTCTCGCAACATGGCGGGTCCGCGGGTTTCATCATAACTGGATCCAAGTTATCCGTACTGGCAGGGTCTTAGCGTATGGATAGATCTTTTTGAATTCAGGCAGGATGTGTTTGCGAGGGAGCCTCATGCCAGCCAATCGGCACTCCCTTTCACCCTGTGCGCTCCTTCGCAAGTCCATAACCCTGGGCTGGACCTGGCACGAGACATAAGGCAAACCATGCCAATTGAGTAGCTTCTTCGGTATTTGTAACTAATTTATGGCTACAGGACGTGAAGGCCTCTAAATCCAAGCGCCAAAAATCGATCAGGCCGCGGTTCCGGGACAAACGGCGACCTGTCAATATTCTGTTGCCCGCCGGGCGACGGGGTTCGCGATTTTTTGCTGCGTCAGAATCAAAACCCAGATGCCAAGGATGCAAGCGTGGTCTTCAAGTTCCATGTTGTGACTCTAGCTTCCGTTAACGGCAGCTCTGTAGACAGACGGCGTTGTTAATGCACAGGTCAGCTGCCGCACGTAAGACGTCCCGCAGAGTCCCGCTCCGCACGCTGGTGGTGGCCGATAAATGGGCCTGTAAAATTGCATAAGCTACTCCCCTGCTGCTCTTCCCTCGCTAGGGTAGCACGCCGTGCGCAAAATGAGTGCTGTAGTGATCGGCCGTGTGGTGCCAATCAATTGCGTTACAACATTGCAAGCGCATGAGGGCGCATACTGGCGGGTGCCTCATCAGCCGTCCGCCTGCTGGTGTCCGCTCTAGCGAGTCGGTTTCGGAGCTGCTGTCGGATAATCCAATAGCGGATTAGCTGATGGCCGATGGCCGACACGATGCGCATAGCTGTACAAATCACGTTTCTCACACCGCGAACCACAATACGCGCGGCACTCCCACAAGTTTCCTCCTCGACCCATTTCCATTCTATCATTGTCGCATTCCAAATCCAAAAAAAGGCATCCCCCATCTTTCTCACGACACCGGGCTACGTAACGAGGAGAATCAGCTTTCTTCCTCCATCAAACCGCCCGCCCTAAAGCTCCCCACCAAATCGTAGATATGTCCGGAACCGATGCAGTTCATGCATCTGCGCAGCTGCACGACTACACGCACCTAAAGCAGCTCTCCGACGAACAAAAGGCCGAGCTTGCCAAGTTGGAGCAGGCAGAGCCCTGCGCGGGCAACTTCGCTGAAGGTTATCGCGTCCTGGAGAATCAGCCGAGCGCAAAGCTGCTAAGTGGTTATACCATTCCGCTGGTGGGCCTCGGAACCTGGTGCGACCCGGGTGAACCTCAGGACACGAAATCGGGGCGCGCGCAAAGTTTCGACTAGGAGCTGCCAAGTTTCCAGGCTGGGTTGTAGTCAAGCGCTTTGGTATGATGTCGGTGGTGCTGCTGCTAACGTTGGTCCGCGCGCTCGGAGTGGTCAACGACCGCTGGAATTCGTTTCCTCGGAAGGCATGTCATGCACCTTGCCCGTTTTTTAGGGCGGCTAAATCTCTCTCCTGTTCGCCGTCGCCTCTATCTTAGTCTTCGGATTCCGCTATCTGCACATGCATTCTTTGCCCCACCACCTGGGCCAATCGGCACCGTGCGAGGAAATGCCCGCTACCACGGCCCAACAGTCCAGAACAGTCCAACACCGATCTCGAAGCAAAGCAACGCAGAAAATGTGCTAAGGAGGCTGGAAGCACAGCGCACATGTCGTTTTGTTCATTTTTCTCAAATGGATATGAACGACGTCATAGTGGCTAGAGACAGGATGACCGGTTTCTCTTTATATATATTCCTAGCACCGCAGCAAGTCCTTCAGGCCCGCAATGCCTGCTGCTGCTGCTGCTATTGCTGAATTAGTACTGTAGCGTTGTGGCTGCTGCTACTGCGTCTCGACATTTTCATATAAGAGCGAGGTTTGTTCACTTAAGATCTGACATCCGCAGGAAGAGCGCCAAGGGGGAGGTGGGGGCGGCGGTTGCTACAGCTCTACGTCTAGGCTACCGGCACATTGACTGTGCCAAGGTCTACGAGAACGAGCACGAGGCAAGGAAAAAAGGGGAGGGAAGGGAAGGTAGCGGCTGGAGTGCTGCTGAGGGAGGTGGGAAGGTGTCGAGCTCGGGGGTCGGGGTTTAGGGGTTTTGCACAGGCGGCAGGGTCTGACGGTGCTGACTGAAAAGCGAACTGCCCCATTCTTGTCGCCGTCGGGGTGTGTGAGATCACAAGGCAAGGATGCCCAAAGGACCCACCATCGCCCCTCTTCCCCCCAAACCCCACAAAAACCGCCGTAACGACCTAACAGCATCAGCATCAGCATCAGCATCAGCATCAGCACACGCACAAGCTGCACGCCCTTATCAATCACCTCAATTATTTCATTCAGATAAGCCGTATCACATCGCACGAGGTAACGTAGGGAAAAACTCCTCTTCGCCGTGTGTGCGTATTCCTCTCACATTACGAGGTGCGCCGCAGGTGGGGGAGGCGCTTGCGGCGGTGCTGTCGGAGGGTGTTGTACGGCGCGACGAGGTGTTCATCACGTCCAAGCTGTGGAATTCAGATCACTACCCTAGCCGGGTGGAGGCGGCGTGCAGGAAGTCCATGGAGGATCTCCGGGTGGGGTGGACGAGGGCCGACGGGTGGAGAGGGTTGGGGTGGGGGGAAGGGGGGAGGCCGGCATGCAAATGGTTTTTTTCGAAAGGTGTATAAAGCTAACAGAATCTTGAGATGCGATGGTGATTAGGTATCCTTCAAGTATATTACATCATGTGTGACGAGAGCACGACCGTTTCTGATGACGGTAATCGTGGCGATGATCATTTTTTTAATGATGTGGGTGTGGAGACGCCGACGCCGAAGCATATGACGACATGAGCACATGACACAGCATATGAGGAGACAAGTGGTAATGGGATGGGTGGGTGGGTGTATTGGGCAGGGAGACAAAAAGAACGCGTCTGATGTAAAACCCACACACCCCCACCCCCGAACCCCACAGAAACACACATGTGGCCATACCATATCATACCATTCCATCCAGCGCTGCGATAAACTATCACTCAGAGCCTCAACGCCAACGGCACCCCACCTCAAACCCCCCTTCCGAATGTCTCCCTACATGTGACTTCCTCCCTTGCCAGGTCAGCTATCTGGACCTGTACTTGATGCACTGGCCGGTCACGGGCAACACGGGGCCGCGGGTGGTGCCCCCCCTGGAGGATACCTGGGCAGCCATGGAGCAACTGGTGGGATGGGGGCGGACTGAGGGTGGGTATGTATGTATGTGATATGTATGTGGTATGTATTGAGCTTGTGTATGTTAGCGGGAAGGAGGAAAGGGAGGAGTACGGCCTTCAAAACGGGGTTCTCGGGTACGGCAAAGGGACCTAGGTGAAAGGGTTCGAGTGGGGGTTTGAAGGGGGATCGGGAAAGAGCGGGGGCCGGGAGGAGGGGGGAGGGAGGGGGGGAAGCTGGAATATGGTCATCCTCCATTACCTGACCGCTGCTGCTGCTGCTACTGCTGCTGCTACTGCTGCTATAGTTGAACCTGCCATTTGGTTGTAGCGTCAGATGACTGTAGCTTCGACAAAGTACGTGCGTGCATACAGGAGACTTTAATAGTTCGTACGTGAAAAAACCCGATTCCGAAACTTCACTTCGCCCCCATCTTCTCAGGTCGACAAAGGCCTGGTTCGGACCATCGGAGTGTCCAACTTTTCCGTCAAGAAGCTCGAGGGAATAATGGCCATCGCGCGGATTAAACCCGCCGTCGTACAGGTATGACGCGCGCTCTACACACTGCGCCGTACTTAAACCTTGTGATTTGGAGGCGTGCTTTGGTTGTGTATGCGTCAAGTTGCACGGTTGTGATATGGCTACCCAATTCCTGCCATGCTCTGCTATAAAAATCCAAAGCCTTAAAACCTTCTCACGACGGAAATAAACCACGTAACGCATGCATGCACAGCTGAAAGCACACATATACACATACATACACACGCACACTTACACAAATGACTAGCTTCGCCAATGCACCTTCTCCTGGCCATCGAGACTCATTTCTCATATACACATATACACATACACACATACATACATACATACATACATACTAGGGTTTGGCATTTCTCATATACACATATACACATACACACATACATACATACATACATACATACTAGGGTTTGGCACCACTGGTAAGGCGCGACCATTGCCCCCGGGAGATCCCGGGATCGATACCCCTTAGGGTCAAAAGTCCTTCCGATGGTGGAAGGCATTGCGCCCCTAGTTGATGGACGGTGGTGACCTGGGATAAAGTTAACCTGCGAGCCGACCAGGAATGGAGTTGCGCCGCTGTCGACCCGGCAGATTCCGTTGGATGCTGCTGGTGGGTGCGGAACCTGAGCGATCCACTGAGAAGTTGACTAGGGTGACTGGATGAGGGTGCCCCGAAATACCGGGGAAGGCAGGGTTTCGCAGGGTAGCTGCCACGGGCGAAGATACACCCCCCTGTTTCACACATCATACATACATACATACATACATACATACATACATTTTAGTTTTAGTTGTTTGTTTGTTTTCCCTTCGAATCCCGTTTTCGTTGGTGGTGTTTTGGGGGGTTGTTTCAGAGAGCCTTTGACATTGCCCTAGCTGAGACTTGTGTACTCGCCCTAGCGGGACCTGAGAACCCTTCGTGGTGTATTCAATGCAGCGCCATCCCCGGATGGAGTGGCTGCGGAGTGGCTGCGTAGAGTGTTGGCAGTCTGAGTCGGGGTCGGGAGCACACAAGACTAACTGACTTGTGCTGCGTGCTCCCGACCCTTGCGCTGTGTTTCGGCTTCGGCCCCCGGCTCTCGCGGCCCACAGTGTAATCTAAGTCATACATACATACATACATACATACATACATACATACATACATACATACATACATACATACATACATACATACATACATACATACATACATACATACATACATACATACATACATACATACATACATACATACATACATACATACATACATACATACATACACATATCCTGATTCCGCCTTCTTTCCCAGGTCGAGGCTCACCCCTACTGGCGCAATGAGGCCCTCCTGTCCTGGTGCCGGCAGCGGGGTATCCACCTCACCGCCTACTCGCCGCTGGGCTCCCCCGACAGTGCGGCCATCACCAAGAGGGGGGAGGGCGTGGCGTCGCCCCTGAAAGACGCCGTGGTCGGGGAGGTGGCAGACAAACTGGCCAAGAACGCGGGACAGGTGGGTGGTTTGGGTTGGATAGTAGGGGGATGGTTGGGGTGGGTGGCAGGGCGGGTGAACCGGGGCGAAATAGTTTGAACGGGTCAAGGACTCTGATATGGCGCGGACTGTGCTATGATGCAGTGATTGAGGCGCAGTACTACGAGTTGATTTGCGATAGTTGTTTTATTTGCGGGCACAGCCGCTGTTGTAGCACTGCTATCTATTTACTCTCTGTCAAATATTATTCGAATTCTACTAGACTAGGGAATAGTTTGCACTACTGTATGAGCATCAGCCAGCAGGTTGGTTTGTCCGCCGTAGCCAACGGAATATCTTGTCCTGGCTTACGTGCGACTGCTGGTTTACACGAGTTTTCAATTAGCGCGAATAAAATGAGATCGGTAAACTCCCGCCTTCGCGGTTTGGGACGTAGTCGGCTGCCTTGTTCGCTCGATTGATACTATCATTGTCAACCATGTAGTGTGAATAAGATTGCAAAGTGTTACATGTTCTGCGAGTCACTGGATAATACAAGGTGACGCTGAAGCAGATTTGAAATTTCCACGGTTCACGGCGTACAAGCAGATGATCAACCAACAAATGAAATACTTCGATAATTGTCTTCGATAATTTGAAGACAATGGATATAATGATCCGTCAAAACTCTTCAAATGGTTCAAATGTCAGGTAAGGTTAACCCGAAATATGTCCCACACAAATATCCTAATTCTAACAAGAAAATAGAAAACAAAATCTGATAGCAGCTCGGTAGAACGGCTGGTAGCCGCGAGCGAGATACCCGGGACGTCGGCGGAAAATCTTCCAGATAAAAACCTGCCTTAAAACCGCCCTTCCAGCTAAGCACCTATTAGTAGGAAAGCAACTATTCATCCACCAGGCCTACTACAGAGAATCTACACAATACTGTGATGCCACATTTAGGCCGAAGGGGTGAACTTGGTGGCGTAGGCGAAGGCGTTGACAGCGCTGGGGTTGGCGAGGTGGTCAGACAGGTTCTCGATGGGGCCCTTGCCGGTCACAATGGCCTGCACGAAGAAGCCGAACATGGAGAACATGGCCAGGCGGCCGTTCTTGATCTCCTTGACCTTGAGCTCGGCGAAGGTATCCGGGTCGTCAGCCAGGCCCAGCGGGTCGAAGGCGCCACCGGGGTGAAGCGGGTCCAGGCCCTCACCCAGCGGGCCGCCGTTGGCGCGGTAAGCCTCAGCCAGGCCCATCACGACCACCTGGATGGGCAAGAGGGAGAGGGAAAGGTGTGTGGCAGGGTCGAATGCAATTGTCGGGAGCGGATAAAAACCCATTAGAGTTTGCCCTGAACCGATATGCTGATGAGACCTACACGTCATGTCTCAATAGCTTTGGGGTATTAACCCCCGGGACCAAGATCCCATATGCGCTTAAAGGGTCACTTCTCAGTATCCTCCGGTTACCTGGAAGGCCAGGGTGGCAATAATAGACTGGGCGTGGACCAGGTTCTCATTGCCCAGGTAGTTCAGGCCGCCCTCAGCGAAGATCTGGGCGCCGGCCTTGAACCAGACAGCCTCGCCGAACGAGACACCCGCGTACTTGGACAGCAGCTCGGGGGTCACGCAGCCCAGAGCGCCCAACATGGCCCAGCGCGCGTGGATGAGCTCCAGCTCGCGGTAGCGCTTGAAGGTCTCCGGGTCAGCGGACAGGCCGGCAGTGTCCCAGCCGTAGTCGCCGGGAAACTCGCCGGTGAGGTAGGCAGGGGTATCGCCCTCAGAGAAGGGGCCTGAGGGGGCGCAGCAAGCAGAGAAAACCAAATGAGCGTTGTCCGAATGACATCTTCCTATCGGAGGACGGAGGAAAGCAACAGGGGAGAAGAGGCAATCATGTGCTGTGAGGTTCAGCACCGTTGGAGTACTTGTCCAAGCCCAACCCCTTCCCATCTCACCCAGGAACTTGGGCCGGTCAGGACCATACCACTCAATAGCCGCGCGCGGCACGACACGAGCAGCCTGCGTGCATCAAGGGGGAGTGGAGGCAGGCCACTGTGATTAGATGCTGGGGATGTATGAAGGCCCAGAGCTTCATACAGCTTCATATGCGGAAAGTGGCCACCAAGTAGGACGTAACCCTCCAAAAAGTTATGTGAACGCTGTCGGAAGACATGTGCTTACATCCTGTATGATTACCGCCTTCTGGGATTTGGAGGAAAAAACTTACCCGGCTGGATGCCGTAGCAGGGCGCACCGAGCTGCGAACAGCGGACTTCGGAATAGCAGCCATCTTTGCAATAGTATATTAAGTGACACAACTAATGCAGCTGATTAGACTACAGTTATTGTGTGCAGTCTCATTGTCGCGGAAGGCCTTTTAAAGTGCTTGATGGCCTGACGCAAGGCCCATAATTGTACGGAACCTTGATCACAACTGCTCTGATTTGCTTCCGAGAGATGCTTGCGTTACTCTTAATGTGTGTTCTGAGATTACCAACAACGTTGGATAATATTTGACTGCAATAAGATTTGATGGTTTATCTAGCGCGAATTACGCATGCCTTTAGGCGGACAGCTAGATTTAATGTATCAGTGTTTGAATCGCAATGCTGATAGGTTGCCTTCAGTTGTAAAGGATAGATACTTTCTGCCAGCCGATCAGCGTATGTAAATTTTTAGCTCCCGCCCCTCGGGCATGCAGTTTTTGTTGCATGGCCATATGCCGATACAAAGGCGTGTACATGCGTTCGCAAAGAAATGATGACGGTATTGCCTTGATTAGTCTTCGAGGTGTCAATAATCATATCCTAAACCGATATTAGTAACATGTTGATATAGATACCGTCGCGGCAGGAGTATGTGTATACTTACTCTCCTTAAGTTGTCATTTGGTGCTTCTCCGCAGGCAAGGTCTCGAAGGGTACGTGCCCATCTTCCTGTCTACCTGCTTGCCTGCCGACATCTCTCCGTTGGTCTATTTGTCTACTGCAAAGAGTCCGCAAGTTGCTATGGAAACCCTTTTCTAACTTCTTCTGGTTAATGAATGATGCTAAGGCTTGGTTTGCAGTAAAGGCACCCATTTCCGTTAAGGCACGCATATTATCCATGCTAAGGTTTGGTCCATGGGTTGGGATGCCTACGGCTTGGACTCTGTACCCTTGAGGTGCAATGTAATGTATTAGTAGTTGGCGATAACGCGCGCGGCGCAGCCAAAATGTTAGGCCTCGCCCTGGTGTCGAATATTCGGGATGGTTCTGATATTAATGAGACACACACGGGTTGGGCACTAAATGTTCGTGTAATCGTGCGTTCAGGTGAAGTCGACCGGGGCTCCAATGGCTCGAGGCCACCTACGCACTCACCATCTAACGCGGCAAACTTAACACGGCACATCGCTCATGCAGCATATCGTATCAAGCGGGTAGCTCGCGCCACGATTGCGCGTTTGCATTTCCGGGTTGGCATGCTGGTCCGCACTCATGCCTTCGCCCCGAGCAACGAAAACCCACACCGTATACACACACGGGATGCAAACTGATGCCCAAGATGAGCAAAATGTCCGCCACACACACACGCGCGAGGGCATCGACGAAAGCGCATATCAATCACTGTTTCCCAGTTTGGGAAAACTGAACAAGACAGGATCAAGCAGTCCACCAGGATTACGCTGTCTGGCGAAGGGTCCTGGATCCATACTGGGGAAGGGTCCTGGATCCATGTGTACGACAGCCGCCACGCAGTGACGTTGTTCCTTAGCTGTCCGTCCATGTAGCGACTGCAGTATGGCTGCACCCTTCTTTCCAGCTTCGAAAAAGCCTGACAATTCCTCGCAACACTCCGACGGCTTCGTGCTTCCCGAACTGCTAAACACATGAACATATAAACGGACAAACCCATGTGTTGTTGTTAAATTACATCACATGCATGTCTTTGCAGATCCTAATTCGCTGGGCTCTCCAAAGGGGAACGAGCTGCCTGCCCAAGTCCGTCAACCCACAGCGAATCAAGTCAAACCTCGAGGTGCTGGACTGGGAAATACCAGCCGACCTGTACGACAAGTTGTCCAGTCTACCGTACCAGCACCGCATGGTGGACGGCAATTTCTGGATCAACCCTGCGGGGCCTTACCGTACCTTGCAGGACCTGTGGGACGAGTGAGATTATGCGATTGGTAATTTTCGGTATTGGGTCGGTATTTTACCGCCTAAAGGTGTTTTGTTTGGTGAGGGTCGGCTAATCGGTGAGAAGTAAGAGGAGGTAATGGAAGGCGTCAGTGAGGAAGAGACAGACAGAGAGAGAGAGAGACAGAGAGCGAGCTCCCTTTCATAACGACCTACACCGACAGGACTTGCACTAAGCGAAATTTTGATGGAATGAGGAATTAAACAGAGGATCGCTGCTACGCGACAGGGGGAAGATCGGGATCACAGTCATGCTGAAGGTTACTTACGGGAGGTGCGGAGCCGGAGCATGATGAGGTTACGGGCAGGAGGGGGAACAGTTGGTAGTTGGCGGTTGTGTTGCTGTGTCGCTGGCGTTGTCTGGACCTGCTCACGGTGCAGAAGGCGGAGGATGGCCGGTGAGAAGGGGACGTGGGCTGAGTCACAGTTGTCAAGAGGCGCCGACTGTAGCCGCAACGAACGCCACTGCCTAGAGCTTATGGTCTTATGGTCATGTGGCTACGATGCTATGTTGATTCTCATCTTTATTTTACCTTGACATCGATGTAGCGCCTGCCCGTTGCTTTAATCACGTCGTCACATCTTGGCTAACCAAGTCTTAGCGGATGGGTGGTGTAG